GAATGCTGTTGTGTCAAAAAACGGCCTACATAATAAGTAATAAGGTCCTCAAACCAGCTTAGCCGACGAACACACCCAAGGCGAACCAGTTCTCAGTGCGTTGTTGAGGATGTAGAGGTCACATAGTTCGCACCGAGACCTACACGTTGCACGCAGGCAGCTTACTGTAGCCAGCTGTATGCGATGGCACACACGTCTGGACAGCTCGTCCAAAAACCCCTTCTATGCAACTTTTATGGTAACATTCTCGTTCAACCCCTATTTTTTCTGCTTTTTCAATTCTTATATTTCTCTAATTGCACCGATTTTTGCATTTTCTTCTTTTGTACAATACTAGACTATCATTTCCATTATTCGTCTTACAATTCGACTAGGCAACCTAAAATTTGAGAAGTACCTGAGAATTTGATTTACCTTTGAAGGAGTGAAAACAAATTATTCTTTTCAGTATGACATTTGGATGGAAAGAAATTTCGTTCTAGCACCGAAAAACGGTCTTCCAATGATTTATACTATTTTTTCTAAAAATTTAGGCCTGAATTTTCTCCCTGATACTTGCCGCATAATAAAAGTAAATTCGGAACCCAATCATAGTGCATTTCTACAAGGAAAATGAGAAATTGTGGAAGGGGCGAGAAATTTCCTTTACGCTTTAGTCGAACAAGATGTACTTGTGATTACCAGAAGGTAAGTCTGTGTTACTGAGGTCTGTAACTCAATAGCGTGTCAAGTTTTTCCAACTACTCTGACGACACAGAAGTTGTAAGAATCGAAAGGTGTACGATGGTATGTAGCAGGCAATGGTCGATAGTAGTAGTTTTTACTGGAACAAATGCTCGCTTAGGAGAGGAAAAGAGCTCGTAGAAAGTTTTCCTGACGGTGACGTCAAACTAATACACTAGTTGTCAAAGAAAGTGCTTCCGGCCGGTAAAGATGTATGGGCGCCTGCTGCAGGAGGGAGTATACATAGGTTTTCGGTGAGTGGTTTTTTTGGTGACTAGACTGGAACCACAACTTCATTCCCCTCAACAGCGGATGAACGAGAAAAAATGCACCCTGCAAAAGTCGCACTTTGAATTTTCTATTTCCAAAGCCCGATTCCNACTTCAACCACAACTTCATTCCCCTCAACAGCGGATGAACGAGAAAAAATGCACCCTGCAAAAGTCGCACTTTGAATTTTCTATTTCCAAAGCCCGATTCCGGATGATTCCGTCCATATTTATTAGGTTGTAGAAGGTTACATAGTGGAGTGTTGAATTATATTTGTATTTGCAGAAAAAATCACCGTGTTCAACAAAAATGAGAGAATCCTCAAAAGTCATGAAGAAATAGGTCGTTTTTGAACTATTCACTTCTACTGCAAGGCGGCATCTGCTACGTGTATCAGCTGACTTCAATTAAACGCGCTTCATTTTGAACTATATGGCAGCTAAACTCGTCCTTTCTTGGAAGTATACGAAGAGGCCCAGAAATTTTCCCTAAGCGGTTTTTGAGCCCTTAGTGCTTCTTATCTAGTCTGTTTTTCGACCTGATACACCCAATTTGACCCTTTCAAGATCCTCTCCCTACTACGAACAATGTTTTTACCTATTTGAAGAAGACGATTGCTTGCAGGGAGGTGGGGTGGAGAGGCATGTGACAGACTACAATTAAGTCAGTGCATGTAGCATCCCAAATAAGTCTTCTACTAATTAATCCACCCCAGAGAAAAGCTCGCCCATCTTCAATTCAGAGCGAGTTTCACCATTAGGAGGTTCATCATTGATCCTCTGCATTTACGTTCTCATTTTTAGAGTGAACAATTATTCTGACTCTTTTATGAATGGCTGATTCATAGAGCTCTCCAATAATTGCAGTTTTTGTGCTTTCACTCGAATTGATGTGCTTTGCCCAGGTAAAAGAAGGTTGGGACAGTCTAGAAGGATTTCGACACAGAGTTTTTCATTTGAACTCCGAATGATTTAGCAGTGCCATTCAAAAGCAACTGGGCTCCTGGGTCCTGCGCTATTAAAAGCTCATTTTCAGAAGTACAAGAATGCTTGGCAATTGCTAACGCCTAGCATATGGATTTTATTCCAAATTATATTGCTAATATAATAGCTATTTCAGGCGGGGCAATAATACTCGCAGGCCATTGATCTATTAACCGGTGGTACTTTTCTCCCAGATGCATCTGATGATAGTTAGATGTCGCGCTCGATTCAAACAGGAACCGATCTATTAACCAATTCCTGAACAGTACATACTGTAACAGCGCTAGTTATGGTTAAATCACGATGACTTTAAATTTTTTACTACTTATAAATGAACTGATTACCCTAGTCCTAATTAGGAGCTGTACCCTTCTTATAGTTTCCAGGAAAAAATCACCCACACGTAGAAAGGATTGGATTGAGTGGTGAGGTGTAATCACTACCTCTTCCAGGAAAAGCTTGTGCAGTTTTTAGGTAAGCCGTGTCAGTCACCACCTACGAGCGATTGAAAAAGGTATGGGAGGGTGATTGGCGTCGTCTGAACTTGGCTTTTCTTTGAAAAAAAAAATTTCTGAGAAGATATACTGCCCCACACCTCTTTTCATCAGCGAAAGATTTCTTCAGCGTTTTGGGCTGCACTGTTTCGTTCTCCTCGAACGTAGGTTATCGGGTTTGCCCACATGGGATAAAATCGTCGTTTGGATTAAAAACCTTCTTTTTTCTTCAAGTTAGGCAGAATATTATCTCTCTTATCGTTATGTGCCTACCCTAGATGTAAAAGTCTTATGAAGCCCTCGGGTCAGGAACTGAGTGGGTTAGTCAAGTTGTTAGTCGAAAGGTCTAGTTAAGATCCATATCTCCCCCAGACCCAAACCCAGAGCTCAGATCACACTGAATTCTGTCCGATAATAAGTTTCTTTCGTTTTGGTGGGCCAGCTAGGGTGATGTTTGCCTAGGAATAGAGGAACATTGGACAACAATAAGTACAGACCCAGGGCGTATGCATATGATCCTGAAATGGTATGGAAGTCACCCACGTGGTGAATACCAAGTAGATTGACTGACGCCAACCCTTTTTGTCATTTATTTATAGAATTCATCCTCCTAGGTTCCCATGTTCCGTGACAGATCACATGTCTGGTAGAATTGTGACAAATGACTTGAAGTAACGGATTAACGACCAAACGGATGTGCTCTGCTGATGTAATGACCCCCGAGGATTGTTCATTGGCATACCCAGCTTGTTTGTTCCGTTCATCACTCTGTAGTAATAATTGACATCGATCTTCAATCTCTCGGATATCATTGTCATCACCTATTCTTACCTCCTCAAACAGATCCTGATCATCACGAGCTTTCTAGGTTGGGAACTCCCCGCTGACTATAAACCAAACCGTGGGTCCCCTGAACTACCCAATGCCTTTTCGTTGAAATTTCATTGTTGTAAACATAGAGCTTAGTGGAAATTTGGGTCGGGCGCTGAGCTCACGCGATCGCCTCCGTGCTGGCCTGGCCTCGTCATTTGTCGCGATTCGCGATCTTTGGCTATACTCGTGATCAACTTCGATTGTCTTCTAACAATGGGCTCCCTTTTTTGAGTTGGTTCAAAATTTAATTTTTCTATTTTTTTAGAACAACCTATCCTTTCACATAACAACTCTGAAGTATCAGCTCACCTCCAGTCCAAGGTATTCCGTCCAATACGAGACACGATTCTTTGGATAATCTCCCGGTGCCAGTTTGTAGTTCTACTTCTCCATTCGCTATCGATGAGGTAGTTCATGCAAGCAACGCATTCCTCTCTGGAAAAATTATATTTAACCTCAGGAATCCAACTCATTCTTGCGCTGGTAACCTTTGCTGGGTGTGTTTCTCGGCCAGGATACGATCATGGAACATCACTCCCCCGCGAGTCATCCCTGGTTACTGCTTGGACCCATATCGCACCCTGACCTCAAAGCACACATTTCTTTAGTAGAGACAGATGATACCAAAACGTAACCAGAAACGTCTCATTGCATTTTCGAAATTTCATTTCGAACTAAACCAGCCAAGAGTTGAAATACCTCATTCTCCTAGCTATACATGAACCTATCTAGTAGTTATTATTGATTAAGCGGTATCAAAATATTTCAGGGTTAACTCCTCTTGAATATCACCGGTCACTTCTTCTGACCTAACCAAATTTGCCAATTGGCAATGAAAAAGCAGAGGTGTTGGGACGAGTGGGTGGTTCAAAAACCACCTGCTGCAGAGCAGTTGTCAATCAGCTCGAGCTGAACGTATCATGTATCTCTGATGTCCTCACTAAAAGTCCTTCTACCCTCTGATACAACTTTTTGCAACTTCCAAATGTTGTAGACTTCTAGGAATGTGTACGTTCGCTTGTTTGCAGACATTTTACAGACGTTTTTCCTTTGATCACTGAACGCCTATCGTATTCTCTAATAGATTTCTCCTAGGTAGCGGTGTTGATGTCCGTCTAACGGACCGATCTGCTCCAATTTGATGCTTCCTCTACTGGTTTGAAACATTCCCACATCATTTCCATTTCGTTTCAAATCTCAAAAATATATTCTAAATCTCAAAATTCGGAAAAAAATCAAAAATAAGGCTACCCGAGTTCTAAGCACCTCCAGTACGAACTCATATTACTTTTGAGCTTATATAAAAAGATTGGTATTGACCTCTTTTCGGTTGGATCACATTGCACCCCCACAACTTAAGAGAAAATTCAAGACCCGCTTCAAATTTACTGGTCGAAGACAACTCAAAATCACCGATGTAGGGGACTGGCATTCAGCAATCAAATTCATCAGCCCCCGGACGTATTTAAAAGGCTTATTGCAGGCTTCGAGCTCATATTAAAGAAATATGTCATGGCCCACAGGCAGCCCAGAACTTGAGGGCTCCTAGATGCACTTATTGATTATATAATGCCTCTTTTTGAAAAGTAATCGATTGATTAGAAAATTTTCTTTTCTGCTTGTTCGTTGTTTGTTGCCATAATTACTCGGTGAATTCATGATGTTCTATATCAGTATCACCACTAACCGAGCATGCTTGTTCCAGTCAGTGTACGAAGCGGATCTCGAGGCTCGACTACGTGAAGCAATACGACAGCGGGACGAGCAGTGGAGGCGACACGAACGTGAACAAATTACTTTCCTCCAGAACGAGACCGCGGCCATGCTGCGAGGTCTTCATAAAGAAATCGACAGACTCGGATACGAGCTGAAAGGTATGCTCGATCATATGGGTACCCTGTGTATACACAAATAAGCAAAAAGAAAGGGCGGTATTGTAGTGCATTGGGCCCTCATTCACACTGACGTCCCGGGGATTGAATACCGGAGTGGTTCCTGCCAAGGTCTACAAAATATCCTATCCCTCCGGGGTCGGTGAGTTGGCACCAGACTCGTCTAAGAGGATAAAAGCACCAATATGTACATTGGCTGAGCACTGGAACTCATTGTACGGACCACATATGGAATAAAACGACAATTCTAAAGGGAACTAGAACGTAGGAGGCGGGAGAGCATCCCAGAAGCGAGATTGATCGACGCCAATGGGTTTTATCCCTCATTCTTCAGATACAAGCAAGGCATATGGGAAAAGTCTTGTCTGGAGCTTCAGTTCTACTCTTTTCCTATTCAAACTATTCAAAGGCCCCATAACTTTAGACCATTTCGGGTATGCTTCCGTCCCTACAATTCTGATTCGCGGGAGACATGGGAACATTTAAGAAAGAGCCTGACTCATGTCAAGAGGCTTCATTACTCATTCTTGAAGTATTAAAACTATCCAAAATCCCCGTGATTTGAGCAATCCTGCCAAAATACCTGCCAAGCTTACTTCCGTAGCAGGATGCCTTCGTCAAAGCCACAAAACCTTTTCTTTTTTTAGAATTCTCTCGAGAATCTGCTCATTGATCACGGTTTTACGACGCCTTTTCTTTCACACTTTATTTTTACCCACCGTTTGACGCGCACTACATAAAAATGAATGGCCCTCCGTAAATTATTGGAAGGTGTCGGTTTTTGAGATTTACGTGACTGTACTACTTTTGAGATTTGAAAAAAGGCGTCATGTGGCGGTATCGTACAGCCGTAAACATATGATCTTTGAAAAAAGGCACCGTAGATAATCTTCGTCAGAACAGTATAGTTGGCAGTCATGGGGTATCGTAGGCGATGGAAATCGCATTGACAATGAGTTCAAAGTTTTCATCGAAGTAAAGCCACTAACAGACTGCATTCATACTTGATCCTCTGAAAAATGAACGTGTGGACTACGTCTCCTGTTACGTTTTGAAATAGTTTTTCGATGAGTTCCTCTTCCTATCTGAACCTACGTTCTGAACTTTTTTTCGAGGGAATTTCGAAAATGATTCAAAAATCTTGACTCGCAAATTACGCTTCAAAGCTTTTCTCTATCTTCAGCGTTTGGGGTATCGATCGAGTCCAGCCTATTAAAAGTTTTGCTGTGATAACGCCTACCATAGTTCCATCTGAAAACAACCTAAAACTGAAGGAATATCAAGCTGATATGGTAAAGGTACAGCTCACAATAAAACCTGTCTGCATCATCTCTTCCTGAGATGGGCCTGAGACTGTCGAAGCTAGCACAAGGGACGGTATCAGGTCGAAAAACGGTCCAGATAGATGCGCAAGACGGATGAGTTATCACAGCGTTATAGAGTCTATAGATGTCGCACCATTCCCGCCGGGACCCACACGTTGCACGCAGGCAGCCTACTGTAGTCAGCTGTACACAATGGACACGCATTCAGACAACTCGTCCAAATACCCCTTCCGTACAACTCCTTTCTAGAAATACGCCAATTTCTGATCTTTGCGTTCTTTTGGGCACCTTAACCCTATTCTCTTTTCGCTTCCATTACTTATCCACAACTGGATACGCCCAAAACTATCGTGAACGTGCCTTTTAGCCGAAGTTAAGGCGAGAAATAAGGCTGAAGACTGTTTTTACGAAGCTTGTTGTTGTTCGGTTGAGGGAGTTCAATTCTCATCAAAGATAATGAATGATCCAGAAAATCAGAATGTGAAGCCAAACATAATGGCAATTCTATTTGGCACCTCTAAACTCCCGTGACACCCAAGATCTCCCGAGAGAAGCAGACTGCATTGGAAGATTTTCATGATTTTATTATAGATTTTGTGCTGGTAATCTTCGAACGCTTCTGTGTAATTCACTTTGTTCTTTGGAGTGAGAGGCGAGAGGCAATTACAAGAGCGAATCTATTTATTGACTGGAGGTGTTTCGTTTCTGAGACGTATACATGTATTTTTTTATTGTGAAATGTCGTTCTACAGCAAAAAATAAATAAAAACAAAGTTTGTGGGGTCCCGTTCGCGAGGCATTCTAAACTTTTCTCCTACTAGACGAGTCTGGCATCAATTAGTCGACCCTGGAGGGAGGAAGGCAAAAAGCCTTGGCTGACTTGGGAGTATATTAATCCGGAATTCGATCCCAAGACCGTGTGGGTAATAGTGTTCCAAGTGGCACAACCTATCCCCGTCCTTCCCATATCCCATACCGGTAGTTACATGACTTTCTGCTACTAACAACTTTTCCATGCGGAATATTTTGTTTTGATGGTGACTGACGGAGCAAAATTTGCGCAATTTACATCCTCCTAGTTATAGATGCAAAGCGCCAACTGTACGTACCAGATGATTCACCATGTGATCACTCGGAAATGGAGGCGAAAATCGAACAGCAGCAAGAACGTATTCGACAACTTGAACAGGCAAGTATTTTGCGAATGAACTTCGTTTGCTGTCAACATTTTCCACTGAAACTGTTTTTTGATAAATGAATGAATAAATAAATAAATAAATAAATAAATAAATAAATAAATAAATAAATATTTATAGATTCCAATCACTTTAGGAAATTCGTGAAAAGGAAGAACGTGCTAGCAGTATTGATAGCAAGGTCTCACAGACAGTCGAAAAGCTCCAAGAGCAGATTGAAATTCAGGTTTGATAGTTTTCTACTACCTAGTTTCCTTTCGATGATCTATTTTTTTGATGGACCCCTTACAGGCAGACCGTATTCGGCAACTCAGCAACGAACTGAATGAACGTAATCAGACTCTAGCCGTTTTGAGCAGCCAGGTTGAGTTTTATACCACATATCTCATAAACAAAATCTTTCTACCCATTAATCTAGGAATATCTCTGCTTGCTACTGTATAGTGCATCTGAACAGTCAGCCAGATTAAGAATAGAAACTGAATCTAAAGGCACACTTGACAGTAAAAATGGTTTTTGGAACATTCCCCTTAGGATAAATCTGTGGCCCCCTATATACCACATGTAGCGCTTTCAAAGTGGGGAACAATCTCGATATGGCGTTGCAAGGCCTCAAAGATTATATTGGTTGTATGCCACACCCAAGACGGACGAGTTTCGGCATCATCGTAGAGCCTGCACCATACACAAAAGGCATCCACATTGGAAATTCAAAGAACCAGAGGTGACCAATAGTGACGGTATAATGCGGTTATGAACATTCCTGGTTCGATATAACCAACACTTCACGCAGTTGTGATAACTGAAATCTCGTCCGAATCGCCTTATATGCTACTTCCGTCTCGGAAAACTCGTATGGCCTTTTTATCACTACTTTCGAGAAGTCCTACTTTTTCTATTTCTTGGTGGATTGGTATGCTCTCTTCGCCGTCGATTTCTCCCATTACTCTCCATCACCACGTCCGCTTTCCCACTCAAAGAGCTACCTCAAAATTATCGTCAACTGTGCCTTCAAACAAACTAGTCGGCTGGACACGAATCCTTGCTTAGATAATATATTTTACATAATATGTAAGCACTTGAAAAACTGGCAAAGTGGACCCATAAAAGTGGAAAACGAAGTCGTACTGAATGCTTTTTCGCAACTATAATACGATATGTTACAGTTACGAACATACCGGCTTCGAGACGCCATGGCTACAGCTCAGCAACGTCGTCGAGCGAGTACCAGTCCAATAGTATCACCTTCGTCACCACATCGAATCTTCCCTCCCAAAGGTCTCGCGTCTGCCTCGGTCACCGTATCTTATCCGGGCGGCAAAACAAAGTAAGGTTTTGTCCATCCCGTTGTAGTGAGAGAGAAGCTGAAATTTTTTTGAAATTAAAAATTCTTTATTTCAGCGATCGCTCTGGAAGTATAGACCGAGTTTTGAGACGGAAATCGACATCGAACGTTGGCATGAACAAAACGAATTGAAGAGAATTTTTCGAATTTTTGTTTACAAAATGTATCGGTTCCCCCTTTGCTGTGTCAGATTCGACGTGGGTTATGTATGTACAGGAGATAATCACCTTTGAGGTGATTTTCTTAACCCTGACTGTAGTGCCCTTATAATTAACTCTCTGGGTGAACTCGTCATCAATTAACTACTGTTTACTACTTACTGGTCCACAAACAATTACCAATTCAAACCAAATATTGTTTTACCTCGTATGGAAGCGCATCATTTTCAGCACATCTTTTAAGGTGGATTTCATCGTTAGGTATTGTTTGTGGTAATCAATAATTGATCAATAATTGTGATATTTTCATATAATGTAAATTATAATCTTGAAGAATTCACTATTTACCAAACAACAACAACCAAAGATCGATGTGGGTGGGATTATATAGCCCGAAACTCAAAACAACGTTCAGCGGGTATACCAACACTTATGGCACTCTATGGACCCTACCGAAAGTGCTTCACTGAATGTTACAATTGTAAAATGCTCGCCCAAAATATTCCCACAGCTATTGTAAACGACAATTTTCCCCCGTGTGATCATTTCTGTATAGCCTGAACTTAATCACTTGGAATAAAAATTCCAAATAGTCTATTGCATATTGAATTCATGTTGGCTGCCACCGGTACCTTCAATGAGTGACTTTCGGGTAAAAAATGATCGACACAAAGATCCTTACTTTATATAAAGCGCTCGCGTCTGTCTGTCCGTCCGTCTGTCCGTCTGTCTGTCTGTCTGTCTGTTTGTACGGAAATTCATAACTTCTGTCTCCGTGGACCTAGGACGTTCAAATTTGGTAGGAGCACAGGCGGTGGGATGAGAACACATATGGTGGGTGGCAGGCGGACCCCGCCCACAGGGGGCGGGGTTTGTGCAACCAAAATGTT